TTTTAAATTTTAAATTAAAATTTTAATTTTTAAATATATGTTAAGATATTATTTTTTTTAAAAAAATAATATTGATACCCACAAATCTTTTAAAATTAATATTGATACATCAACCACAATCTCGTATAATTAAGGAAACTCTAACCAAAAAATAAAAAAAACCCACCACTCGGTGCATACAATTGGTATTAAAAATATTCTTTTAAGATTTTCTTTTTCTTTTTCAATTTGGACGATTTGTTGCATCCGTACTTAACTAAAATAAAAGAAAAAAAAAAAGAGAGGAAAATCCAGAAATGATTGGCCATCCATAAAAAGAAAGCAAAAAAAAAGAAAAAAGAAAAAGGACGACAATAGAAACACGAGTATTATATTTTTCCTGGTAGAAACTGCAAAACCATATTTAACGAGAAGAGATTCAGTATTTTCTTCCAATTTCAATTCAAGTACACAAGTTAATCCAAGCTATGGCGGTCGCCAATTACCCCGTTGCTCGCTCAACGGACGCCGGAATCCCACTTCTATATGACGCCGTTGATGGCTGCGTTGACTACAAAGGCCGCCCTGTCCTCCGATCCAGCTCCGGCGGCTGGAGGTCTGCATCTTTCATCATAGGTAATGTTCTCTTACAATTCGTTCAGAGAATCATTCTTAGTTTTGAGCTAATTCCTTGTTCATGGAGATTGTACAGGTGTTGAAGTTGCTGAGAGGTTTGCTTATTATGGAATCGCCTCCAATCTTATCACCTTCTTAACGGGGCCGCTCGGTCAGTCCACCGCCTCGGCGGCTGCAAACGTCAACGCCTGGTCTGGTGTGGCGTCGCTTCTGCCTCTTCTGGGAGCATTTATAGCAGATTCATTCCTTGGCCGTTACCGCACCATAGTTGTTGCTTCTCTTATCTATATCATAGTTAGTAGTTCCTTTCTTTTTATCTCATTTCCCCTTTTACTTGTTTCAATTTTGTGAATTTTAGAAGTTCAATTATGGTTGTTCAAGTTAAAGAAATTGGTAATGTGTTTTTCAAGTTGAACTTGAGAAACTTGTTGTTCAATTTAGCTCAGCTTGTAGACAGCCTAAAATGTGCTACAATTAGCAAGGTTGGGGTTGGGGAGGCTAGAGGGTGGAGGAGAGCTTGGTTTAATCTTTATCTTCTATTTGAGAATTGATAATTAGTGATTATTTCAGTTCTGGCTTGAACATTATTGGGATGTTTTGTCTACTAAATTTCCTTTTTAATTGATTTGTGATGGTGTGCAGGGATTAGGTTTGCTTACTTTGTCAGCTACTATTTCTTTTGATGCCACTTCTGGCTGCCTTAACAGCAATGATATCACATCATGTGCCTCACGTTCGTTCCAAGTAGTCTTATTTTTCTTCTCACTATATCTAGTAGCAGTTGGGCAAGGTGGACACAAACCATGTGTTCAAGCTTTTGGTGCAGATCAGTTTGATGGAGAACACCCTGAGGAGTGCAAGGCAAAGAGTTCATTCTTTAATTGGTGGTATTTTTGTATGTGTGGTGGCACCTTATTAACCCTTTGGATCTTAAATTACATCCAAGACAATCTTAGTTGGGCTCTTGGATTTGGAGTCCCCTGCATAGCAATGGCAGTTGCACTGTTTGTTTTCTTGGCTGGAACAAAGTCTTACCGGTATAGTCAGAAAGGGAATGAGAAGAGCCCATTTGTGAGAATAGGTCGGGTATTTATTGTGGCAGCCAGGAATTGGCAAACGTCATCTTCAGCATTAGCTGCTAAAGAAGAGGCTTGTGGAACTCTACCTAATGAAGGTTCCCAGCAATTCAAGTAGGTGAAATATTTACACACAGTTTTGCACTTAAATGGAGCAATGCCAAAAATTAATGAAGCCTCCAAACTTTCATGAAGAACTGTTCTCTCTTTTTGTTTGATAGCTTTGAGCTTTGAGTTATGCTTGATTCATAGATTCTAGGATTGTCATCCTGTAAGTAGTGATAGTATGAACTATATTGCCTGGATTGCATTGTATCTAGATCCAGTTTCTCTGAACTTTTTGACCAAAAACTGTCTATCAAAGTGCGGAAAGAAAATTTTTGGGACCAAAAGTTCCTAGAGTAGTAGATCGCTGCCTGTTTAAATAGTTCTCCCTTCTCTTTTCCCTTTCCCAACATACTGTTAACTTTCTGATTTTTTTTTTTTTTCCTGAAGAATTAGATTATTGTTTGTTCATAGTTTGGTTTTTAAGACACTGGATTGCTTAAGCAGACTTGCAAGTTGCAATGAATGTCCTATCCCTTGTCTTTTTCTCTTTACCATTTATCATCTTTTTGTTTTCTATTCAAAGAATAGTTTTCCATGCACATTTTTCAAAATGAATCAAGCTAATACCTCAAACTGTATTATGATCCTGAATGGCAATTGGACCATGTCTCCCTCCATTACACTACTACATAAGCATCAAAATTTGCATCTGTCGCCTTTCCTTCACTGCAAAATTTAACAACTATGAACTTGGTAACATGAGGGTGGCCAGTATTGCTTTATTGAGATTAGAAGAAGTGCATGACACCTTAAACATGGGTTTTAGTTGAAATGGTTTTTTCTGTAACGGTTAATTGGTCAAAAAATGTAGCTGGCACATTCTTACCCTGTATGAGAAGTTTAGCCTTTATCCTTAAGTAACTTTTTATTACCATACCAAGTGGTATTCTTACCATGCTACAGTCTCATATTAGTTTAGTTGCTTTCTTATCTTCTCTTCCTCTGGAGAATTATTGCTCATTGTAGAAGTTATACACTCATTTGCAGTGGCAATGTGAACTTATTGTTATGAAAACCATTGTTAATCATTTATACAATCTGAACACTTCTAACATAGCAATTTGGATCTTCTTATTGGTAGTTTCCTGAACAAAGCTTTGCTTGCACCTGATGGTTCTGAGGAATATGGGAGGGTTTGCACCATTGGGGAGGTTGAAGAAGCAAAGGCTGTACTAAGGCTTGTTCCGATATGGGCTACGTGCCTGATCTATGCAGTTGTTTTCGCACAATCATCAACTTTCTTTACTAAGCAAGGAGCTACCATGGACAGATCAATTACAATTGGATTTGACATACCTGCTGCTGCACTTCAATCCTTCATCAGTTTAACCATTGTTCTCTTCATTCCCATATATGACAGGATTTTTGTACCTTTAGTAAGAGCCATGACTGGGAGACCCGCTGGAATTACTTTACTGCAGAGAATTGGAACTGGGATGTTTTTGTCTGCTGTATCCATGGTGATTGCTGCTCTAGTTGAGATGGAGAGGCTTAAAATTGCCCAAGAATCTGGTCTGGTTGATATGCCAAATGTGACCGTTCCAATGAGTGTGTGGTGGTTGGTTCCTCAGTATGTTTTGTTTGGAATGGCAGATGTGTTCACCATGGTTGGTCTTCAAGAGTTCTTTTATGATCAGGTCCCAAGTGAATTAAGGAGTTTGGGTCTCTCACTATACCTTAGTATTTTTGGTGTTGGAAATTTTCTGAGTAGTTTTCTTGTCTCTGCCATTGACAAGGCAACTGGTACAGATGGTCACTATAGCTGGTTTGCTAATAATCTGAATCACGCACATCTGGATTATTTCTATTGGCTCCTTGCCGGACTTAGCATCATAGAATTGGCTGTTTACATATATTTCTCAAAATCCTACATTTATAACAAAGGGAGTAGATCATAAATGCTCTATTTAGGTTTTTCTCATTTCTTGTTGTAACCTGTATGCCATTCTTGCCTAGGAAAATAAAATGTAAGGGCTCTGTCGTAGGTATTGCCTTCACATGGATTGTTGTATATTGAAAACATTTAGATTTCTTGCATTGGTGTTGAGGGTGTACTGTCAGAAGAATTGTCTGCAAATGTAAATTGAGCTGATTAAATCTCAAGTGTACCATGTAAAGTTTCTATCATTTGTTCAATTTCAATCATCCTTCGTTTTTAGTCAGTTCTAACTCTATAGTCAAATTTTCAGGGAAGCTACAGCAGCATTATATGTTCCTCTCTTTTGCATTGCTTTCTCGGCTAACAAACAAAATCTGTTCATATTGAATCAACATTATGGCAGGTATTGTTCCTTGGCTAGGGGTTGCTGAAGAAATGCTAGGTGCTCCTCTATGCATTGTTGTCCATCCCCCACCATGAGCAAATCTAAAACACTGCTTCCCTTCAAAGGTTTCAGGTTTGGGACTAAATTAACACTTTTTTAGAGATTTGGGATGAAAATGTCGGAGACATAAAATCTTGAGGATGAAATTTAATATTTACCCTTAATTATTAGAACACCTACACTTAAGTACATTCATTTTGTCATTTTCCAATAATGCAAGGTCATGGCAGTTCCACAATAATTTGAGAACTAAATGCCTAAATTCGGACATATTTCGTTCAAGTTGCAAGCTGAGGCTTGCTCGAAGATTTGACCAATCTTGATTTGCCGGTTGCCGAGATGACGGACGCCGAAATCCCACTTTTAGATGGCGCCGTATACGGCTGCGTCGACTACAAAGGCCGGCCTGCCCGGCGATCCAGCTCCGGTGGTTGGAGGTCAGCATCTTTCATCATAGGTGATTCCCACACTCAACCACGAGTTCGAGCGAGAACCCACCTTGTTTTGAGCTAATTCCCGATTCATTTTAAGCTGTGCAGGCGTTGAAGTTGCTGAGAAGTTTGCTTACTGTGGAATCAGCTCCAATCTTATAACTTACTTGACGGGGCCGCTGGGTCAGTCCACCGCCACAGCCGCCGAGAACGTTAACGCCTGGTCGGGTGTGGCGTCGCTACTTCCACTTCTGGGGGCGTTTATAGCCGACTCTTTTCTTGGCCGATACCGTACCATTGTTGTTGCTTCTCTGCTCTACATCATGGTGAACTCCCTTCTTTCCTCTATTTAATTTTCTGTGCAATTATTTTAGCCCTGGTTTTAAAAGTTTTGAGATTTTTGACCACCTAACATCTTTGTGAATTGATTTGAGATGTTAAATGCAGGGACTTGCCTTGCTTACTTTGTCAGCAATGGTTCCTTTGGATGCTACTTCTAGCTGCCTGGAGAGAAATAATGTCACATCATGTTCCTCACGTTTGTTCCAAGTAATCTTATTCTTCTTCTCACTATATCTAGCAGCAATAGGGCAAGGTGGGCATAAGCCATGTGTTCAAGCATTTGGTGCAGATCAGTTTGATGGAGAAGACCCAGAGGAAGGCAAGGCCAAAAGTTCATTCTTTAATTGGTGGTATTTTGGTATGAATTGTGGCATCTTAGCAACCAATTGGTTCTTAAATTACATCCAAGACAACCTTGGTTGGGGTCTTGGATTTGGAATCCCCTGTATTGCAATGGTAGTTGCGTTGATTGTTTTCTTGGCTGGGACGAAGACTTACCGGTATAGTGACAAAGGAAGTGAGAAGAGCCCGTTTGTGAGAATTGGTCGGGTATTCATTATGGCAGCTAGGAATTGGCAAATGACATCTTCAGCAATAGCTGCTGAAGAAAAGGGTAGTGGAACTCCTCCTCATGAAGGTTCCAAGCAATTCGGGTAAGTGAAATGTTTATGCATGTGTTTATGGTAAAAAGATTTAAGGGGCTTTGTTCAGGGATCTGCCACCACCTCATATTAACTTTGCTGTTTCTATGGAGAACACTTGGTCTTTTCTCTTGTGAGTTTTAGAACGTTTACTCTCTTTTGCAAAGGAAATGTGAACTTTTAGTTATGAAAATAATCTTTTAATAATATTTGCAATCATAATGCTTCTAACATGGCAGCTTGGATCTTCTTATGTGGTAGATTCCTAAACAAAGCCTTGCTTGCACCTGATGGTTCCAAGGAATATGTGAAAGTTTGTAGCACTGAGGAGGTTGAAGAAGCAAAAGCTGTGCTAAGGCTTGCTCCAATATGGGCTACGTGCCTGATATATGCTCTTGTCTTTGCACAATCGTCAACTTTCTTCACCAAGCAAGGAGCTACCATGGACAGATCAGTCACAATTGGGTTTGACGTATCAGCTGCTTCACTTCAATCCTTCACCTGCTTAACCGTGGTTCTCTTCATTCCCTTTTATGACAGGATTTTTGTCCCTTTAGCAAGAACCTTGTCTGGGAAACCTGCCGGAATTACATTACTTCAGAGAATTGGAACTGGAATGTTTTTTTCTATTGTATCAATGGTGGTTGCTGCTTTTGTTGAGAGGCAGAGGCTTAAAATTGCACAAGAATATGGGCTGGTTGATTCACCAAATGTTACTGTTCCAATGAGTGTGTGGTGGTTGGTTCCTTGTTATGTCTTGTTTGGTATGGCCGATGCATTCACCATGGTTGGTCTCCAAGAGTTCTTCTATGATCAGGTCCCAAGTGAATTGAGGAGTGTGGGACTCTCGCTCTATCTTAGTATTTTTGGTGTTGGAAGCTTTCTGAGTAGTTTTCTTGTCTCTGCCATAGACAAGGCAACTGGTAGGGATGGTCACCATAGCTGGTTTGCTAGTAATTTGAATTGGGCACACCTTGATTATTTCTATTGGCTGCTTGCTGGACTTAGTATCATAGACTTGGCTGCTTACATATATTTTTCAAAATCTTACATTTATAATAGGAGAAGTACATTGTAAATGCTATCTTTTGGTTTTTCTCATTACTTTTTACCAGTAAGCCATTCTCTGAGGGTGAGGGAATACAAGCAAGCACACTTTAGAATAGGTTTCACCCTCACATCCATTGTTGTAAATTGATAAACATATTGAATTTCATGCATTGCTGTAGACAATGTTCTGAGAACTGTCCGTAAATGTTAATCAAGTAGATAATATTTCAATTAAATCAAGTAGATAATGTTTCAATTATACTTTGATCAATTGTTAATGATTCTTTCTTGTCAGTTTAGATTTTTAAATGAAATGCTACCTTATCAAGACAGATTTCTGATAAGCTTATCAAAACAGAATCTATCCCTTTGCAAGATAAAACGCTATATAGAATCCACATTATGGCCACTAGAAAGCTTCTCTTTGCAGGTAACGTTCCTTCACGGGAGATTGCTCGTGAAGATATGACAGGTAGGTACTCTGTGCAGCACATGCCAAATACATACAGTTTCTTGAACGTCCCCACCAAGAGAAAATCTACAACCTTAGCTCTCTTTGAAGGTCTTCTATATAAATTACAATGTCCAGGAAAGTTAAAACTTCTTCGTGCCTGTAAAATAGATGATGATGACCTTTTTGTTTGTGAAATTTAAAGGTGTATAGATTGAAATATATGTATGAAGTGAGTCCAACCAAGACATATAGGTAGATTACTTCTACTGCCATGCATTGATCCTTTGCATTTTTATTTTCAATAAAAGAAAGAAAGGGCAAGATTTATTAAGTGAATGGCTTAGAAGCCAGACTCAACAGTTGATATAACAAACACATTTATAGCCTTCTTTGATATTTGCCAAACACACTCCATTGCCGTTGTTTTGTTGAAGGCAGCCTTGCTTGCAGGAAAGCAGATTGCATCCATTTGGGTCCATCACAACCATACACCTCCCAACATTTTCCACCTCCTTCATCTCCACTGCTGAATCACCATAACAAAGAAAAACCTTTGTAAGAGTCAAGTTCAACCACAACATAAAAGGTTATTTTTTAGTCAAAAATCAGTGTTAGTCAATCCGAGACATGGTCAGGGGTGCAAACTTAGTTCAGGTTGTCATGTTCTCTCAATTCTATACCTACTCACGTTGCTACAATTTTAAAGAACATAGGCTTCATTAGAACAACATGATCTGATTGCTTAGACAATAGAGAAAAAGCCTTTCCCCTTCTTAAAGCTACCATTTCCCCTTCTTAAAGCTACCATTTCCCATCCATCCCTTGGTTTTGAACTTGAGACTTTTAATTCGAAAATCTCATGCTCAAACCATGCCTGGGGGACAAGTGCATTAGTTTGTTTGATCTAAGTTGCTATTAGATGTTGCCTATCATTTAAAAAAAAAATCTGGTAATTGTCAGCAAACGGACTTAATAAGTACATTAATGCCTCAATAGGACATGAATAATACCTGAGGATGCAAAGAGAACCATAGCCAAGATGCAGAAGCAGAGGCAAAAACTCTTCATCTCTACTTCTCTATACCCTGCAAAATCTCCTTTCTTTTTTAGCTTTTGATTGAATTTGCTTCTACGACCCCTCTGGTGCTGCTCTATATCATTAGAGTCTCTCTACAACAATTACTTATAGGCACTTGGAGAAAGAAAGGACAAACCTTCACAACTTTTTATCGAGGCGCATGTGGCATCCACTAAAGAAATCATAACAGGCGAAATCTGCGCGCTATTATTGCGTTCTAAAGACTATAGCATTACAGTACTACTTATCTTAGGATTTTAGATATGTAAGTTGGGTGTTTAATTATTTTCAAGGAGTTGTCTACGATATAAATAATTGAGTGATAGTTTTTTTATTAAAAATAAGATATTTTAAATTTGAATTATATATCAAAAATAAAATATAGTTATCTCTCATTATATAATTTATGATCATAAAAAAACATTTTCAAAGTGTTAAGATCTATTTATATATATGTGAGAGTTACATAAATTATTAGAAGTTGATTTACCATCCAATGATTGAGATAATGATACCATATATAGTAATATTATCTTAAATCATTATCTCAATTATTGTATGCTAAATCAATGGATAATAATTTATGTAAGACTTGCAATATGTAAAGTGTATCGTATCTCATTAGCTAAGGCAATGGTTTTTGTTCTTTTCTTTCTTTTAAGATTTTAGATGTCCATTTATAGAATCAAAAGTTGAGCAAGTTGAGATTAGTGGAAGAAGCATGCACAAGACATGGTTAGAGGTAGTAGACCTCCCACCATGGCAAATCAACATAAATCCCACAGGGCATTTTTTGTTGTTGTATGTTTACACCATCAATTAGCCTTTCTTGATTGTGTAGAGTCACTCGATGTTATCCTCCTCCTCCACATCTACATCTAGTCATTCTATCAACAAAATTTATTAGTCCTGGAATTTTAATTACTTCATCATTGATCCTTTTTAAATTTCCGTAAAAAATCCTTTTAAAATAATACTTTGATTGACAGGGAGTGATTAACTTGTATTTTATTTTCCTTACCTCTAACACAATGAAGGGATGAATTTTGAATTGCAGAAAAAGTAATTGAACACACTTTTATAAAATTTAGAAGTGAAAAAACATGTGGGGATGTAGCTCAGATGGTAGAGCGCTCGCTTAGCATGCGAGAGGTACGGGGATCGATACCCCGCATCTCCAAAATTTTTTTTTTTTTTCTCAAAATTCAACAAATCCGCCTTTCTTTATTCTTTCGTCTTCAAAATTACTCTTTTCATGCACACTGATTAAAAGAAAACCACATATTTTGTCAATAAATTCGGCTTTTAGGATGGAGGCAGTAATAAACCCTATTTTTAAAAATCTTTTTCTTTTTAAAAAAGAATTTCATGCTGAGACTAAGACCATGCTTGGTGTTTTTTTTTTTTTAGCAAAAATATTGCTTCTTGCTGAGCAGGCTGACAGAGAAGCAACTGAAACATTAGCATCGGATTTTGTGGAGTTGTCATTTGCTGGCATATGAACGGAAACTTGGTGGCAGCAAAGTGGCTTCAAGAATCCAAGAAAGCTTGGGTGGTATTCCCACGAAATGTGCTGAACAAGTAAGAAGTTTTTTGTGCTTTTTATATGATTAAGTTATTATATAAGGAGGGATAATATATTTTTTTTTTCATCTTTTTCTCCAATCACTTCATTATTCGAATTTCATAACTCTAATTTAGGTTTAATTTGATAATGTTGGTTTATAACTACAACTGTAAGTTTTTTTTTTATATATATATTTTAAAAATATATTAAATATATATTATATATTTAATATTTATTTTAATTAACATTTTATATATTTTTAAAATAATAAAAAGATATAAAAACTAAAAGATAAAACCCTAATAAATATTGTCAAACGAAATCTCAAATTCTCAAACTCATGTTAACGACTTAATTAGTTCAGTAATATATTTTTTTTAAGTAAAAAATCCTAAATTCAAATCGTATGACATACAGATGAAATGAGATAAAAGACGAATGAAGGTTGCCTCCCATTGTGCAACCAACATAAAAAAAAAAAAAAATCTCAAATTCGTATTAGTAAAATTCCCTATAGTTTTTCTTTTTTTTCCCAATGCCTAGAGTTATTTCACCATTAACAATTTGTTAGTGTGTTTGGAAAATTTTTATAAGCTGATTTCGGTCAATATATCAGCTACAACTGTCAATTATAGGATACCAAATACAATTATCAACTCTTCACATTAATCAAATCAAACATGGCCTAAGACTATAATGAGTGTTGTTGTGCAATATCTCTAATAATGCTTTATATTTTCAATCTACCTTCCAAAAGTGTAATAGTTACCTAGTAGACATTTTTTTTTTTCTAATTAATAAAAATGATATAATTACAATGCTAAATACTATTATAAATTTAAAATATGATATGTCGTTATATAATTAATTTTTTTTATTTAGCAAGTCAATCTTAATATTATATAAATCAATTCATTTAATATTAAATAATGATTATAAATTTATAATTTTACATGATATTGTAATTATAAAACTATTATTTCCTTAATTTTATGGTGCGTAGAATAATTTATGCGTGTCAAATTTTAGTTCATGTGAATCATGTTTCCACTAAAATTCAAAACAATTGATTTCATGCTACGTACAACACGGAGATTGGAAAGATTACTCATATAACATTAGTCAGATTCAAAATAATTTATAATAAACTTCAGAATTACGCAAGATTTTGATATCTTTTAAGAAATCAAATCTTCATCGATAGTAAACTAATACCCCAATCAAGTTAATGAAAATGTAGTTGATATTGATTGGCAGAATCTTTTTGACCGTTGCATTGATAAAGAAAGAACAAAAGTGTTAAGAAAACGATCACTTCTTGTTGAAAAAAATAATAATAAAGATAATATTACCAGTAGGGATACGATGACTAGTAATCTGCAGTGTATGTTCTGTTGTGCCAGAATCCAGCTGTTTCTTCTGAGACATTGCAGAGATTGATTAAGAAAATAAAAAATTATTATATTATCTTTTTTTTATTAACTTTTCAATACCTGATAGCTATATTAGATTGTAATTAATTTAGAATTGAGTAGTATCGAATCTCATAAAAAAAATTCTTTCAACACCTATTTTTCTATTTATAAGATTTAAATTTAAGATCTTATTTAAGGAGAATCGAGTTCCTTTCATTTAGACTAATAAATCATTGGTTTTATATTATCTAATTAAGGCTTGACTAGATAATCTTAATTATTGACGGGAGGAAGTCATTCTCTCCCCAATTTAATGGTAGATTGCAAACAAGCAAACTCTAACAAAGAAAAATAGTTATATTTTATTAGAAAAATGGGTATCAGTATGTATTAC